CCTAAGTTTAGTTTTTTTGTAATAGATGTGAGTAGACTGATTTTTCGACCCTAAACTAACAATTTTTTTGGGTGAAATTTGTTAAAATTCTTCTGAATGGATTTTTTAAGCGAAACTTATGATCATGTTCTATGAAGTTTAGAGTATGTGAGAAAAAAATGAGTCTAAAGTTTAATTTAGAAGGCACCTAAATAAATTATTGAAAACACTACTTTTTTATACGTATTTTGACGAATTGTGTTCCAATAATTTATTTAACTGACTACACGATTGCATTTTAAGCTGAAATTTTATGAACATAATCTACACGTGATGAAAAACATTCTCTTAAAATTTCATAAATAAATTCCACTCGAAAGCAGATCAGTCTGGTATGATTATTTGATTAGTTCATTAATTGGCTCTATTCATGGTTGTTTGATTTCTTCATTGGTGATTGTTTTTTCTATTAAGTGGTGGTGTTATAACTTGTTGATTTTGTTAGACAAACATTTTCAATTATGATAAAATTTATAAACTTATTAAATTTCAATGTGCAATAAAAAGGATTGAATCTGAATACGATAAATACAAAAGAATAGAAGATTAGAGAAAGCGACGATAAGTAAAAAAAAGCTCAATGGAAAAGTTTGTTTGTGTAAAGAAGTCAAATTCTGAATGTCCTCAAGATGAGAACACATAGTCAAATTCTAAATGTCATGAATTATTATTATTATTATTATTATTATTATTATTATTATTATTATTATTATTATTATTATTATTATTATTATTATTATTATTATTATTATTATTATTATTATTATTATTATTATTATTATTATTATTATTATTATTATTATTATTATTATTATTATTATTATTATTATTATTATTATTATTATTATTATTATTATTATTATTATTATTATTATTATTATTATTATTATTATTATTATTATTATTATTATTATTATTATTATTATTATTATTATTATTATTATTATTATTATTATTATTATTATTATTATTATTATTATTATTATTATTATTATTATTATTATTATTATTATTATTATTATTATTATTATTATTATTATTATTATTATTATTATTATTATTATTATTATTATTATTATTATTATTATTATTATTATTATTATTATTATTATTATTATTATTATTATTATTATTATTATTATTATTATTATTATTATTATTATTATTATTATTATTATTATTATTATTATTATTATTATTATTATTATTATTATTATTATTATTATTATTATTATTATTATTATTATTATTATTATTATTATTATTATTATTATTATTATTATTATTATTATTATTATTATTATTATTATTATTATTATTATTATTATTATTATTATTATTATTATTATTATTATTATTATTATTATTATTATTATTATTATTATTATTATTATTATTATTATTATTATTATTATTATTATTATTATTATTATTATTATTATTATTATTATTATTATTATTATTATTATTATTATTATTATTATTATTATTATTATTATTATTATTATTATTATTATTATTATTATTATTATTATTATTATTATTATTATTATTATTATTATTATTATTATTATTATTATTATTATTATTATTATTATTATTATTATTATTATTATTATTATTATTATTATTATTATTATTATTATTATTATTATTATTATTATTATTATTATTATTATTATTATTATTATTATTATTATTATTATTATTATTATTATTATTATTATTATTATTATTATTATTATTATTATTATTATTATTATTATTATTATTATTATTATTATTATTATTATTATTATTATTATTATTATTATTATTATTATTATTATTATTATTATTATTATTATTATTATTATTATTATTATTATTATTATTATTATTATTATTATTATTATTATTATTATTATTATTATTATTATTATTATTATTATTATTATTATTATTATTATTATTATTATTATTATTATTATTATTATTATTATTATTATTATTATTATTATTATTATTATTATTATTATTATTATTATTATTATTATTATTATTATTATTATTATTATTATTATTATTATTATTATTATTATTATTATTATTATTATTATTATTATTATTATTATTATTATTATTATTATTATTATTATTATTATTATTATTATTATTATTATTATTATTATTATTATTATTATTATTATTATTATTATTATTATTATTATTATTATTATTATTATTATTATTATTATTATTATTATTATTATTATTATTATTATTATTATTATTATTATTATTATTATTATTATTATTATTATTATTATTATTATTATTATTATTATTATTATTATTATTATTATTATTATTATTATTATTATTATTATTATTATTATTATTATTATTATTATTATTATTATTATTATTATTATTATTATTATTATTATTATTATTGTAATTATTATGCATGTCATTTAAGATAGAAAAGAGTTCTACAATTTTTTTTGTTAACAATAGGCCCATTTTAATTTTCCGCCCCTAGGCCTTCGAACGTACAGGGCCACCCTTGTTGGTGGTCGTATTTGGGGAGGGTTCGGAGGCGCAAGAGAGGCGACTAATAGGTTTAGTAAGGCTGAAATTAGTTAAATTGATCAAGTTCTATCTAAAATGATTGAATCTTTGCTATTATGGAAATAAAAATTAAAATGATTACTCACGATAACTTCGGTCAATTCAGCATAAAAAGTAACTTCAATATTATGTGTTGTGATTTAGTGTGTAAAATAAAAAACTGCTTGTTTTGTGAAAAGTTGGTTGATAAAGTTGATAGGTTGAATCAACCAATTCAAGCAATTCCAATGCTGCCGAACAAGCTCTCAAAAAATACCGGTATATATTCGCACGAAATTGACACAAATTTATTGAATTTGGCACGAATCACAACATATTTTTGATATGACGTCGTGTCAAATAGCTGATTCAAAACTACAGATGTTTTCTTTTGGACTGAAAGTTGCTGGCCTGGTCTGATAAATGTCTGGTCCCTGTGTATTTTATAACTACGGAACTCTGGTCTGGTCTGATCTGGTCTGGTCTGGTCTGATCTGATCTGGTCTGTGATTGAAAAAAGTCCAAAAGAAAACGTCCTTGGCACAAACTTTGGAATGGATTTGGGAGGGGATCCGTGAATCCATGCCAAATATGTTCCAAATCTCCTACACTTTTTCGTAAATCCTTGTAAAAAAATATGTTCCAATTCTGTGCCCCATTAATATTTTGGTAAATCTCCTACACTTTTTTTTATAGTTCGTTTATTTGTTGCCTTGTAGGTCAAATAACTTTTTTGTTTATAGTGCGTAGTTGTAATTATAAAGTACCTATTATAGTGAGTAATTCACCCTTATTGTAATTCGTACTTTAAAAAACTATAGATTAGATTGGGATAAAATCATACGGAGTACTCAAGTATTGCTCATAAGACGTGAAATAGGCAAGACGGATCCTACAATCCTAGATCGGGGTGCTACACAAGCACACGATATATTTTCAAGGATGAGTGCCAAAGGACTTTTTATAGGCTAAAGAAGGTTTGGTCCATTATATGAAAAGATATCATTTGGTCCAAATCTTATAGAGCAATATACAGTAGTAGTTTTGTAGCTCACGACCATTAAGAAGACGTTTACACTTTACACATAAGATTTTGTCGACACATTATCACTAATAAATTCTTATGCTTTTTGAAGTTACGTGTATGCTGAACTAGACTATATTAGTGTGAACTGCGAAGTTATGAGCCCGTCTGGTAATAGCCAAATTGGCTGTTTTGGTTAATTTTGATGAAATTTATGAAGTTCTGGCTGGTGTGGCTGTATTAGCTGATTATGCTGATTTGTGAAAAATAACACGGAGTAATTGAAAATACATTTTATTAATAAAATAAAGAAAACATCATATGAAAAATAGTTAAATGACCCTTTACAGTAACTTCAGCTAATACAGTCGGAAAAGTAACTTCAACCTTACCTTTTCTTATCATTACACAATTCAACCCGTAAAACCAAAAGTTACGTGTTTGGTGAAAAAGTTGGTTTATAAGCCAAAAATTGAAAAGCAAGAAATGACTACCAAGTACCAAACGGGCACTATATGTCTTTGTAGTAGAGCACTCAAGCTAAACCTGATGGTGTTTATGTATCTTGGATTCCGCTATGAGTGTGAAGATATCTTTTTCTTGGAATATTCAATCCTAGCATTGACAAAGTGTTGAAGTCTCATGGGCGATAAATTAGGAAAAATTGAAAATAATAATCCCAACTATTACCGGTCCGCTGAAAATAATCCCAACTATTGATTATTTTTGTATAATCCCAACTATATAGACTATCCGCCAATAATGGTCCATGACCATATATTACCTCTATAAAAAGTGAATTTTAAATAGAAATATTTCTTAATCCATACGTCTTGTTTATTAATGTTCATATTTGTAATCACATAAGTGTTGAACACACATATAAGTACATGTAATATATAAAGTATATTATATCGTAGTAAATATGTGTTGAACACACATATAATGAAATGGATTTAAATTCTGTTTATTGTTGGATATTGACATGTGTATCATAAAGTGGCTTGAAATAAGTTGTTTTCGCTTTAATGGCTTTAATTGGAACTAGTCTATTATGAAGTATTGAAATCAATTTTAGTTATACGCCATATTTATCATCCTTTTATGTAGTTTAACATGTCGGGACGGTCAAGCTTCAGTAGGGGTGGTAGGGGAGGAAAAGGGGGTAGGGGAGGAGGAGGGGGACAAGTTCCGCTGGTACAAAATTATGGTTCCCCAATTATTGAAGAATATGAGTCTCATGAGGATGATGAGATTGAAGCTGACCAGCCTATGAACGAAAGCCAACCATACACTCCGGAAGGCCACCATGAGTCGGCTGCCTTTGCATTTGTTTCTTACGGTGGTGAAGGATCGGCAAATATAGTGCGCACACCGATATCAGTTGAAGACTTTCCTAAGTAATGGTTTGATATTACATAAGTAATACTTTTGGATATCCTGTTCAAAAAATATTATTCAGTGTATTATTTTAACGTTAAATGATTGTAGGCAAAAAGTTTTGAACGAGGTTAAAAAGATATTAGAAGGATCTTATACTGGACCATGGATTTGTTATGGAGATGTGCCTAAGCCTATTCGTGAACAATGGTTTAGGGAATTTAAGGTAAATCTGAGTATTGATATATGTGTATTTGTCATTTGCAATTGATATTTTACTTTAGTTAATGATAAATATGTGTTTTATGCAGCGGAACCACACATATCCTCCGGCTGAAGAATCTGAAATCCAGCGAGCTTTTAACTCTAGATGTTCAGTGTGGCTGACGGGTGTCTTTAATGAAGCCCGTGATAAGAACAAAACGGTTAAATGGATATCGCCGGTACATTGGCGGGACATGCTAGGGCAATGGGCGTCTCTAAAGTTTAAGAAGAAGTCAGAAACAAATAAAAAAAATAGCTCTTCGGCTGGTTGTAGAAGCTCTCCATATTGCGGGGGGTCTGTTTCACAAAAAGTGAGAGCGGAACGATTAGTAAGTTTGTACTAGTAAATGAATATTTACTATTTATTTTAAATTAATTACTGAATTGAGTTATTGATTATATATTATTATTATACAGGCTCAAAAATTGGGGAGGACGCCCTTTGCTACTGAGATTGTCAAAGATGGGTTCCAAAAAAAAGAAACTAAAGAATGGAGTGGTCCCCGAGCTCAAGAGATTGCGATATAGTTCTATTTGTTATTTTTTAGCGGATTTTCAGTTTGAATACATGGGTATTCAAATTACTTTTACTTAGTTTAATACATAATTGAAGAATTTTATTTCATTACCAGTTTCAATGCATTAATTTGTTTGTATTAGTAGAGTTTATTTCAGAATTCTAGACACTACTGCATGTTTGTTTAAATTTACTGATACAAAAAGAATGCTAGACACTACTGCATGTTTGTTTTCTGCCTATTTGTTCTATTCATTTGATTAAAAATCGGGATTCAGCTCACTGTTTGTTTTCTGCCAAGACATTTCAATTGCTTTACGTTTCATTTAAATGTTAAGTGTTACTTTTCTTTATCTAAATGAAATACTGAGATATTTTAATTGTCAAATTCAAAAATTGAGTCTGTGCCTTTATTCTCAAAATTCTATTCTCAAGTATATAATGCAGTGAACATGATTTTGAAACTAATGACCCATATATTTCTCTACACTTATGAATTCTTGTTTTAAGAATATACTGCATTTGTAAGATTGCATTACTTATGAAAGTTGGTGATTGGTCGACTAACATTTATTTACCTCACCTGGACTTTATTAACAAGCAATATACCTATGTATTTTGATGTAAGTATTTCATATGTTCTGTTTTTAACTAAGAGTGCAAGTTTCTTTTGTCTAAATGATTTGAACCAAAAGTGGCACGTATATTCTGTATTGTAACAGATGTAACTGCGTTGGCCATATTTGTCATAGCAGAATTTTATTTCATAATCAGTTTGAATGCATTATTTTGTTTAATTGTAGCCAAATTTTAAGATTTCTTTAGTTGCTCAATTATTTACTAGTGAGATATTAAATGGAATTTAACTTGTTACATTATTTTGTAGTTACATTAAATATTTATATTATTTTTACTTCATGTAATTGAATATCGGCATATATTTTAATAGGAAAAAGTTGCGGCAGAGGTAGATCGTCAAACTCAAGACTCTGAAGGGGGCAATGTGGATGAAAATGCTATTTTTTTTTGAAGTTGTATCTCCCAAAAAAGGAAAAATATTTGGGGTGGATTCTTTTACTGTGGCAGCTTTGCGCAATGGTTCATTTCCTCCCACTTCATCTCAACAAACGCAATATGTGAAAGCTGCGGATTTCGAAGCTTTTAAAACGATGGTGCTGGATAAAATGGACCAGATACTGGCGACGCGGGGCATAGGTCCTACTAATGGGTCTACCACTCATTCGGCTCCAAATATTACACAAGGTTTCATGTATGAACTTCACTCATCTATGTTTCCTACGGTTCCATCAAGGATGACACACAATCTGCACTCACAACCCGTTCCTTATTATCCAACAATGTACACGAATGGTTACGTGTCGGGACAACAACCTGTGTCGCTTCAACCATCCATGCCTTCTCAAGTGCCACGTCAATTCATTCCTCTACAAAATCCTAATAGCACTTCTCTAGATGACACTTTCCTAAACAATTTCCTTGCTGGAAATGAGGGAGGCAATCAAGGTGGTGGAGAATGAAGAAGTATTTGCGGTTCAAGTTTTATTTATGTAATGAACAATCTTTACGTTTATTTGTCATGCTTTTGCTTTGTATTAACTTTGTTTTTGTACACTCTTGAAGTGGTATTTCATGGATCGTTTTCAAATTTACTTGTGCATTGACAGTATTTCACTATTTTGGTGACACTTTCTGGATGCTACAAAACCCACATCTAACTGAGATTGAATTGCAAAAAACAGGAATGCATTTCCAACTACTGTTATCCGTTGGAAGCTTATAAATATATTTTTTCTGTATTAAATTTCCAACAGATTAATTGGTTGGTAATCTGTTGGCCTATAAAATGAGGCTGGATTTTTTGGTTGCCCTTTTCCAACCACTTTATCCGTTGGAATATTCCAGCAGATATATCCGTTGGAACTCTGGCGGAAAGATTTAAAATCGGTTGGAAATGGTTGTTGGAAACATTTCCAACCAGCATATTCCAATGACCAAATTCTGTCGCTTATTCGTTGGAAATATCATTTCCAACGGCTATTTCAATAAAATCGGTTGGAAAGTTCGTTGGTATTGGACCTTATTTTTGTAGTGTAATTAAGGGTAAAAATTAAAAGTTGAGATTATTTATAGGGATTACTTGTTATATCTCATCTCATCCACTTTAGAAACTACAAGAATTTATTCATAGGGACCATTATTGGCGGAAGGTCCCTAAAGTTGGGATTATTCTGTAATAACCAATAGTTGGGATTATTATAAGCGGACCGCCAATAGTTGGGATTATTACTATCAATTTTTCCCATAAATTATGAAGTAATAAATTCTTATATTAAGATTCACAATTACTATTCTTATCAGATGAAATCCTAGGCTTTAACACCATGCTTCAATTGCCATTTATTGGTTTACATCAACTAGTAGTTTAATAAACAAACTAAAACTGCATTTAATTGCTCCACGTGTCACGTGTGTATATTAATAAGGTAGTTTCTATGGTATCCAAAAGGTACATACCTTTGTCCACTTGAACCAATTAGAATGTTGTAGTTGAATTATTTAAATCTAAATTAAAAATGATTTAATGATTTGGACCAATCATGTGAGTGGTAAGTACGGTATCCCATTTTTTAAATGGGTACCGGAGTTGTCACCTATTAATTGTTGGGTGTGTTTCGGAAAATAAAGAAAATTAATTAAAATAAATTAATTAAATAAAATGACGAAAGAAAACAAGAAAAGAGATGGAGCAGAATTTGTCAAAGCTCGTGCTACGCACGATGTCCTTAAAACGTATTTGTTGCCTCCCACGGTGCTAGGAGCGTTGCAACAATAGTTTCCCAGGATACGATGACAACGAACTAATGTTTGAGCACACAAACAAGAGTTCCAACGAACGAGAACACAGTATGAACACAGAAGGAATTTGCAGATTACTAGCAGTGTGTTTTTAGAGCTAAAACGTGTATGGATTTGTGTAAAATCGTGTGTTGTTGCAAACCACCTGCCAGCCATTATATAGGAGGATTTGTTGTGTGAAAATAGTGAATTAATGGACCTGAACGTTGGACATCAATGACCAGTCCGTTGGGCATTGAATCGTCCATGAACTGTCCATTTAACGCTGCATTAAAAGATATAAACGTTGGGCATTTGTTGCTGTAACGGTTCAGAAGTGCCACCAGAATACCTATGCGAGGTATTCTGATCGAGGCCATCAGAGATCGACGTGTTCTGGTGGAAGCCACCAGAGGCCGAGGTGTTCTGCCACTAAACGTTTCGGGAAGAAAACAAAAATTAATCGTATCTCTTGAGAGATAGATTTTTGGACGACATTCGTGTCCGCAGGTCGCCCGCGCACGCAAGTCGCGGTTTTTCTTCTCCGAATTCGGGATTTGATTTGCACCCCCCCCCCTGCGCGCGTGGAGAGAGCCTTTACCCTTAGGAATCTTAACTCCATAAGGGGGGAGTCCCTTTATAAAGGGTTGCAAATCCCTTGGGTTTTCCGGTGTGGGAAATTAACACTAGAAACCCATCCTTTTTCCCCAGTTTTTCCCTTCTAACGGGTAAACTTCGAAAAGCGATTTCTCATTCACCCGTTATCCGTTTTGAGCGTACCATATATCGAATTGTAGCCCTAAGCAAGGACAATCCGAAACCACTTTAACCCGACCCAAATCGGAAGTGGACCCCACTCAAAAAATTGCCCCAAAATAGCCATTTAATGCAATTTTCCACACATTTTTCCAACAATCCCCCACATGAATGAAAATTGATTTTCGAGACTTAAAAAGACACGAAGATAGGAGGACACATTGTGTTCACCGGATGATCCTTGTATACGGAGAGGTAGGTTTAATCCTTTGAACCTTCCGCCGTAAAGACTCGTTTATTTACTGGCTGTCTAGTAGACTCGATGTCTTTGAACTATACTGCCGTCGTGTAAACATTGACTTATCTTTACACAAGAACCTTCCAACTTTGTTCCGTTCTCATGGGTGTGCCCGTTTTGGCCATGGGTCACCGTCCTGGTTCTGCAAGAGTTTCTAAAGAACTGAGCCATTACAGTTCTCCTTTGAAGCGGCCCTCTTCTCTCTCACATAGGTGATTCTTTCACGAGTATCCCGCATACTCTTCCAATGTTATCGAGTAGATCAACATTTTAGAATCATTAAAGCAAACGTTTTTGCTAACCTCGTGCGGGAGTCACTGTTTCAACGAGGAGTGGGTAGGAGTCCGGGACCCCCACAGTGACCATCCTTCACTCTATAATTTAGTTGTCCCATTTGAAATGATAAAAGAGCCAACTTTATATTAAAACCGGAACAAGTAAAAGTTAAGGTACGGGATCACCTGGCTACAATTTTCGAAGTGACACAAACTCACTTCACTTTGTACACATCCTGAAATTTGATGTCATAGGCTTCCAATAATATATCACATGTTAGGATGTTTTGTATTATGGGCCTTATGGCCAAGTTTTATGCCCTCTTCGGCTCTTCCTTATTGTTTTGAATAAATTCTCCCTTAAGAAAAATTGATTAACCGTATGTACAAATGTACAATTAATATTCAAGTATTCAACACATGTTAAATACTGAAATGGTGGATGAAAAAACGAAGTAAGCTGCACGCAATACAATGATGCATAATAATTAATTTGTGTTTCCTTTATTATTATAGCTTTCGTCTATAACCTAACATGAAAGTGCCAAGTCATTGGTTATATTCGTTGTTGTTACATGTTACGGAGTATATTTTAAACATATACGGAGTATACAATATTCAACACCCGTGAAAAAAAGTAAAAAACATCAATAATTTTTCGTACCTAGAAAGGTAATTTAATTACCATGTCCCCTCGATCAATCTGGTGCTTTAATACGCATTCTATTTTTTTTTTTTTTTTTTTTTTGGATAAAATGTAAATATATATATCCAGAAAATAGCAAAATACAATGCATCAAAGGTATTAAAAAAGAACTATCTAAGCTAGCAAGCTAACTTAAAATAGTAT